ACATGGCTACTTATTTTTAAAAAACAAATATAAATTATATTTTTTATGGAGTGTCATTAGGCTTGATAAAAGATCTTTGATCATGCATTTACTTTTTGCAGATTTGAAAATTTCTATTGTTAGGAATAAGGAAAGTCTTTTCAAAAACTGCAGTTTAACAAGAAAATTAGATTACCAGTTAGAGCAAAAGGAGAGTTAAGGAGTAAACATCACCTAGTACAAGTGGAGAGGAGTGAGAAAGTAACAAAGAAGACATAATGTAGTGGGCTACATAAGAAATGAAATATGTCGGAGAAATATGGAAGGTCAAAATCCAGGCCAGTTGGTTACCCTGGGGATAGGAGGGAAGGGGAGTAACAGGGAGAGGGAGGCTACCAGAATGGGAAGAGGTGCTGAGGGATAGGAACCCCCTCCCTACTCTGTTCCCATAACCTCATTCATTCCCTCAACCCTCCTTCCCATTCCCTCTCCGGCTGTTCTGCTCCTTCAGCTCTGACCCCATTTCCTCAGGATTTCGTTCCCTGAGGAGCTGGGCCTGACATTTCAGACAGAGGCTGAGTAAAGGAGGTAGGTCAGAAAGAGACACTGTGTGTCTGCGTCATCTTATATTCTGTCTTATTATTTTGGGACTCAGGGGCCAACTATGTAAACACACAGACATTTACCAGGAAGTTCAGAGATAATCCCTTAGAGGCCAAGGAATAGCAAAACTTTTCTAGTCTGTGCCGAACAATTGCTACTGGTTGTCATATCCTTGTGGGTTGTTGTGGCATAAATGAGCCACAGGGAAGAACTCAAGATGTCTAGGTACAGGGCCAGAGAGCACTTTCATAACTACAAAGTTCCTCTTGAAAATGGCAACTCTAGGCTTTCTCTATTCAATAGCCAGCCAGATAACTCTGCTGACTTATCTGCTACAGTTCCCCCAAAGGCTTTTGTCTTTGGTAATACCTCAGAATCCTACAGCTTTTTGGATCTTAGTCCAGATAGGGACTGCTTAGGAAATGGCTAAACCTCTGACTTGTATCTGTAGGACACTTCTAATTCTTTAAGCCATCACTTATCTGTGACCACTGTGTATATACCAAGAGTAGTCTGGGATCAACTATTCAAACATTTGCTGTTGGAACCCCATAAAACTTAGCGTCTGAGAGATGAAAAACTTGGCATACTTAGTAAATATAATCCTCAACTTTCTATGTTATTGAATGCCTGCTAACCCAAAGTCTCTTAAAGTAGAAACCAGGTCATATCTCTTAGTCAGAATAACATCTAACCTAGTGCTGCTTCAGTTTGCAGTCTTCTAGGTCTGCTGGGCACCTTGAATATTATTGCTATTCCTTAATTCCTAGATCAGTGCCTGGCATGTGGCAGCAAAATGGTTGAATGAGAGTGCAAAGTCTTGAGTTCAAGCTCTGGTACCAGCACACAAAAGAAATTTGTGTGTGTGTGTGTGTGTGTGTTTGAGCTTTTTTGCCAAACATAGCACTCTACCACATGAGCCACAGCTCCACTTTCAGTGTTTTTGGTAGTTAATTGGAAATAAGAGTCTCACGGGCTTTCCTGCGCTGGCTGGCTTCAAACTATGACACTCAGATCTCAGCCTCCTGAGTAGCTAGGATTACAGGCATAAAGCACTGGTGCCCAGCAATAGATAGTTTTATAAATAGGGTATCTCTCCTTAGCAGCACACAGTCTTTCCAAAGCAATAACTATGGCTTCTTTCATTAGAGGAAACAGGCTGATCTTTTTTTTTTTTTTTTCAGGCTTATCTTTAGATGACGTCCTTATCATCCCATCATGCCCAGGCTAGGAGAACCCATCAAAGATAGAGAAGGGAACAAGAGCCAGCTGGTTGGGCATGATACCTTATAAAGAGAGGGCAGAATTCTCCTATGCATGCCTGACTTCTGATCTATTAGCTAGGATTAACTTCAGTGTTTTTTTTGCTGGCAATTTATCAGGAAAGACCATAACTTTCTGGACTCAGAAGATTCAATTCCTTATCTCATTTCTTTTTTCTTTTTCCTTTTCCCTTCTCTTTCTCCTTCTTCTTCTTTGTGCTCATTCTGGGGCTTGAACTCATGGCCTGAGCATTATCCTTGAGCTTCTTCTTTTTTATTTTTTTGTTGGTCATGGGGCTTGAACTCTGGGCTTGGGCAATGTCCCTGCGCTCTTCAGCTCAAGGTGAGCACTCGACCGCTTGAGCCACAGTGCCACTATCCTTGAGCTTCTTTAGCTCAAAGCTAGCAGTCTACCACGAGAGCCATGGCTCCACTCCTGACTGCTTTGGTAGTTCATTGGAGATAAGAATCTCAGACTTCCCATGCCTAGGCTGGCTTCTTACAGAGATCCTCAGATCTCAGCCTCCTGAGTAGCTTGAATTAAAGGAATAAACCACCGGTTCCACTGGTGCGGTGTTATTTCTAATGTCTCTTTTTTCTTCTGTCCAGAGCCCTGATTCCTATTAACTTGGTTTTGGAATATCATAAAGGTTCTTATTTGTTTAGTGCTGCTCTTGGGGCTTGAACTGAGGGCCTATGCACTATCCCTGAGCATTTTCGCTCAAGGCTAGTGCTCTACCACTTGAGCCACAGACCCACTTCCAGCTTTTTGATGCTTAATTGGAAATGAGAGTCTCACAGACTTTCCTTCCCAGGATGGCTTTGAGCTGGGATCCTCAGATCTTAGACTCCTGAGTAGCTAGGGTTACAGTTGTGAGCCATTAGCACCCACCATGAGGATTTTTTTTTAAGTGCATGAAAACTTTGAGTTGAATGAAATTTAGAGACAATATAATTTATGGTGTGTGTGTGTGTGTGTGTGTGTGTGTGTGTGTGTGTGTGTAGTGTTGGGATTGAACCACAGAGCTTTGTTAGGCAAGCACTCTAGCATATTTGTCTGTGTGTGTATGTGGGGGGCGGTAGAGTACTCGCGCTTGAGCTCAGGACTCTGAACTTCGGTACTTAAAGACAGTGCTCAAGCACTTGAGCCACAACTCTACTTCTGGCTTTTGATTTTATTTTATTTTAATTTTTTTGTCAGTCGTGGGTCTTGAACTCTGGGCCTGGGTGTTGTCCCTCAGCTCTTCAGCTCAAAGCTAGTGCTCTACCCCTTCAAGCCACAGTGCCACTTCCAGCTTTTTCTGTTTATGTGGTGTTGAGAAATCGAACTCAGGGCCTCATGCATGTGAGACAAGTACTGAGCCACTTTCCCAGCCCTACTTCTGGCTTTTTATACAGACTAATGACTAATGAACTTTATCAGTTCATCAGTTTTGTTTATTTCTGTCTGCTTTTGGTAAGGTTGTCCTCTTTATGGAAAAGGAGTATAGCATTTCTAAACCCAATTAAAAAGAGAAGAGATAGAATTTGTCTATCTTGAAGCAAATCCTTCACACCTGCAAGAGTACTGTCTTTGCAAAGAAAACTTTTCTATAGTATGTCCTATTGCCTCAATTTGTTCTGTGGATGTAGGCTAATTTTAATATTCAACCAACACTTCAATTCCCACTTTGAGTATTGTCTGCTTTCAATATTTAATCCCAGAATGACCTCTCTTTGCCTCATAGCGTGTTCCCAGTTTACCTCCTTTCTCTGATTAGTTAGTGTGGCTTTAGGGAATACCTTCTTTTTAACACTACGCTGGGCAAAAACAGAAATAGATTTCAAGAAATCTGAAGCAAGATCAAAAATAGAACTCAGCTAAATATAAGTCTAGAGAGAATTATCCAATTACTTGGATGGTCCCTAATCACAGACAATCCAGAGTTGATTGACTAGTTTTTGCCAATATAGAACAAAATGAATTAACATATATTAAGTATAATATCTTTTTCTTTTGAAGAGTAATGACTCTTAGTAGTACTTAATTGCTGTTTTCTTCCCTCAATTTCTTCATATATTTTATAGCATGTGATGTTCACAACTGCTTGCATTCTCTTTTGGGACCATTAGTCTTGTTTTGACTTGTAGGGCAGAGAGCATTGAACAGGGAAGACCAGGTTTTGCTAATGGAGTTACTATGCAAACTTGGGCAAGTTTCTCAGTCACTTTGTTCCTTTCACTCTGTGAAAATAGACTTCCAGTGGACCACTCTGAAGAGAAAATTCTTAACTCCCTTTCAGAGTTCCAATCCATTGGATAATAGTTGTTATCGAAGTAGAGAGATGGAAACGTGGAGAAAGACAAATGTTGAGTGTCACGTGAGACAAGGTAGCTATAAAGCGTGAGAGTATAATACAAATCACATGCAAATGTTTTACAAGCTTTGCATTAATTTGCAGAATCTTAGCAAGCACCACAGAGATCCTATGAAGATTACAACTATGTTTTTAAGTTAAACTAAGTGTAATGCCTTTTGAAGTTACCCTTTTCTTTATGTTACTGGGATTCAACTGCTCAAAGTTGGACACCCCACCCCTATAAAAATTTCACTAGTGTTTTATTACAACCTACGCCCAGGCCCGCCCCCTGCAGAGCTTGACGTCACGTGACATCATATTTGCATACTACCTGGTCTGGGTGTAACGTTCCTCCTTCCTGAGACTTTTCATTGGCGGCTCTGGAGAACCAGCCCTCCTCGGGTAGGACCAATCAGCACCTTCTTGGGTGTAAGGAAGCAGGCGGGGACTGGGGTGGGGGTGGGGTCTTGGGTTGGATCGCTATGAACGTCGACCAATCATCTTTGGAAACGGAAGATCTCACAGTTAATTGGTTGAGAGGTGGAGTCTGGGGCTCCGTAGGCCAATTAGAGTTCTGAGCTGAGAGAGTCGATCACCGCCCCGTAGGGCAGATAAGTAGCTGCGGCGGGGGTTGGGGGCTGTGTGGGGCTCGCTGTGGGGCCGAGGCAGGCGGGTGGCCGGGAGGGTGATGGCAGGGGCCGCAGCAGGCGGCCGGGGCGGAGGTTCCTGGGGGCCGGGGCGCGGAGGGGCCGGGGGACTCCGGCGGGGCTGTTCTCCACCAGCCCCCGCCGGCTCCCCCAGGGCTGGGCTGCAGCCGCTCAGGGCCACAGTCCCCTTCCAGCTGCAGCAGCCGCACCAGCGCCGGGACGGGGGTGGCCGTGCAGGTGAGCCGGGACTGGAGCGGGTGCCGGGGGGAGGAGCCGTTGGGGGTCAGGGGGTAAGAGGGTGAAGGGGACGGGGGGGAGGGGTACCGGGAGAAGTGTTAGAGGAAAGTGGACGGGGGGCGAGGAAAGGTGGTGGTGGGGCGCGCAAAGTCTTCAAGGGCGGAGGAGCGGAAAGCTTTGGACGTGGGGTGCAGCGCAGAGGCTGAGGGTGCCGGAGTTGGGGCCGGGAGGTGAGGGGAGGAACCTGGCGGACCGAGGCTAGTTTGGGGGGCGTAACCGAAAAGTGGCAGAAGTGCCGTACGGGGATGAGTGGAAGATTCGGGGGATGGGAACGAGGTGTGAGGAGGGGCGGGGGCGGGGGGGGGATGCGCCCTGTGCTGTGGGTTGTGCTGGGAGCGAGGAGCCGGTGGGCGCTGGGCGTCTGTCTGCACGAGAGGGGGAGGGGCATGGAGGAGAGCCTGGTGGAGCCATGTGTTACTTTTCCAGCTTGAGTTTGGCCCCAGCATCCCACTCTACAGCTCTGGAGTTCCTTTCTCCACCACTTCACCACTTCACGTGCGCTTCCCTTTATGCCACCTTCTGGAGCAGATTGTATCACAGCCGGTTGGAATAAGTTAGTTTAACGGTTTGTACTGCGGTGCAAATGCTCCGCTTCCGAGTCCCTACAGTTGTAGGTTCCCAGATCGTCGACCTGCTTAATATGGCTGTCTGATTCCAACTATCCTGTTTGTGCCTGCATGTGTTTAGGACTTGGGCATTTTGCCTCTGCCTCCCCCTCCCCCCAATGTTGTATTGTCCTGAGCATTGCCAGCCAACGTGGCAGTGGGGTGAGGGCTGCAATCAAATATGTTGTGGCAAATACCCTGCACTCTGAACAACACCGAAACAGGTTTTTGTTTTGTTTTTGTTTTAATAGTAACTTAGTGTATGGTGAGTGTGGAGAAACTAAGGAGGAGCAAGCTGAACCTTGCTTTCACACTCAAAGCTGTGAGGGGACCCACAAATGCAGTCACTTAGAAACGGAAAAGGAACCTACTTGTGTGAAGAGGTTGGCAGTAAGTTGAAAGTGAGGCTTGCATTTGATTTACACCAGATGTGAAAAGATCATTGCACACTTCCAAAGCCCCAGTCTGTACCAAATGTACAAAAGTCATGGCTCTGTCATCTTAACAGTTAATGATATTGTCTAAACCATGGTCTCTTGAGCTTCTGGAGATTGCTAATCTTAGTTGCTGCATGTCCTCCTCTGGAAACTATAGGTGTTACAGTGGCTTGCTAGATAGGAATGGTCTTTGAGGTCTTTGAGGTAGAATGCCCTCCTGTTTTTCTGGACCTCACTGTGTATCTTAATATCACATTTTAGAATGCAGAAACTTGGTAAAAATCTGGTAATAAGATGGTGACCGAGCAGTAAAAGTATTTGTAGAATCTGGTGGAGTAGAAGAAGGCAATGCCTAGATAAATTTATGCCTATCATGAACTGTAAAGCAAACCACAAGACTACAAACCTGTTGGTTTTGTTTGGGCTTCCTTGAAACCAAGGGAAGTTATTAGAACAACAAGCACCAGAACCTTGGTCACTTTCAGTAGAAATCAACAGAAAGCTTTCCTGTGTAGTAGCTGGAAACTGATTAGCAATCATATTTTAAGAGAAGTTATTTGGTGCATGCTACATAGCTAGTATAAAGGACAAACACTGGTAGGTGCTGTGCAAAAGGGAAGAATGTAGGTTTGGATGCTTGGGTCTTTTACATGATTTGCTCCTTTTGTAGGGTCAGGGGTCCTAACATACTGATGAAAACATAGTTGCAGCTCTGCATAACTTGCCAGGTGGCTCAGGAAAAATTTAGTGGACTCATTATATATTGGGTTCATCCCTTGTTTCTCCACCTATTAATATGTTCAGGAATTAATAAAGCATTTCTCTTTGTATAGTGAGATTATCTGTGGGTTTTCAGTAAGGTAGGAGAAAGAAAAAAGTAAAAGAATTGATTGCCAGGTGTCAGTAGCTCATGCTTGTGATCCTAGCTACTCTGAGGATGGAGGTTCAAAGGCAGCCCAGGCAGGAAAGTCCATGAGACTCTTATTTCCAATTAGCCACCAAAAGGCCAGAAGTAGAGTTGTGTTTCAAGTGCTAGAGTGCTAGCATTGAGTACAAAAGTTCCAGGTTCTGAGTTCAAGCTTCAAGACTAGCACAAAAATAGATAAATAAATAAGAGTAGCCTGGGCCAATGGACTTCTTTGTGGTCAGAAATTAAGGGAATGCATTTGGTCTTTGGTTTGGAGCCCATCAGGTCTTTTGTATGTTACTCTCAACCTTCACATGGCTTTGGAATGTGGCTTCATGAACTGTGGTTTTCTTTAGACTAGTAGCACATATGTAATAGAAAAAGGAAACCCCTTACTATCTAAACACTTTAAGAGAATGGTGTCGGTAGTCACGATGCCTATGTTTCAGATCCAGGTTCTGCCATTTACTAGTTGTGTGGCTTTGGGGAAGTTACTTGACATCTGTGCTTCACTTTCCTCATCTGTGATAATGTCTACATGCTAAGAATCAAATAAATCAACAAAGTGCTCAGGACAGTGCCTAGAACACATAAGATGCTGTTAGAAGTATTTGTGGCTGCTTACATTGTTATTCCCTCTGCTGAACCAACGTGAGAGCACTGTTGGCTAGAGCCCATTGCCTTTTCAGGCTTCAAAGAGCAAACCCAGATTGGTTTGAAACCAGTACTGCAGGTTTCAGAATTTCAAGGCCTCCTGTTGCATTTTTATTCCCTCATCTTTTAAAATGAGCTCTCTTAAACAGCATTCTGAAGCCCAACTGTTTGAAAAAGCATATGAGCTGGGACTGGGTTTCAGGAACAATTAAGTGTCGTCACTGTTTCTGTTTCTCATCCCAAAATGATGTAACACTCCACTGTGCAGTTATCTCACACTGCACACCCTGCTGTGTTCTTGACAAGATAGATTAGGCCTTGTATAAAGGGTTATGGTGTAAAGAGTGAATTTACCTTCTGCGATCATTCATCCATAAGGAATGTCTTCATCAAGTGAGGAACAATTTCATTTTTATGAGACTGGGCAAGGAGTTAGTAAGACAGAGAGTAAAGAGAAAAACAAGGGTCAAGTCTAAGTTAAGAGTTAGCCAAGAGTGGGTAATAGGAACCAGGATAAATTTCTTACTGCAGTTGCCCTGGAATTAAGTTCACTTTTGTATCTTAGGTCAGGTAGGGGCTGCTAACTTTGTGTTCTTCCAGGACTATTAACAATAGACAAAACAAAATCGACTAGGAGGCAAAATTTTCTGGGTTCTATTCTACCCATCTTTAGAATGAAAATAATGCATTTTTACTGTTGTTGTTTGTTTTGTGTGCCTAGGATTGAACTTGAGCCATTTTATATACTAGATAAGGATTCTACTACTGATTTATACCCCCAGCCCCATGAAGATAAATTTAATATAGCTTTGCTACTTATCCCTCCAATAGAAAGCCCCACTAGGGCTTTGGAGCTAAATGCTGCCTTAGAACCTCTATAACCCACCAGAACCTTCTTTTTTTTTTTTTTTGTTGGTCATGGGGCTTGAACTCTGCCTGGGCCCTGTCCATCAGCTCTTCAGCTCAAGGCCAGTGCTCTGCCACTTGATCCACAGCTCCACTTCCGGTTTTTTAGTAGTTTATTTTGGAGATAAGAGTCTCACAGACTTTCCTGTCTGGGCTGGCTTTGAACTTCAGATCTTAGCCTCCTGAGTAGCTAGGATTACAGGCAGGAGCCACTGGCACCTGGTTGCTTTGGTTATTTTTAAGATAGGGTCTTGCTTTGTACCTGGGCTGCCCTAGGCTGTGATCCCATTACTTGTGCTTTCTGTGTTGCTAAGGATATTGCTGTGGATGACAGGTGCTTACCACTGCTCCCAGACATTGAGTAAGAGTTTCACAAACTTCTATGCTCAGACTGGTCTCCCGCCATGATTTCCTCAATCTCTGCTTCCTGAGCAGCGGGATTATAGCTTGAGCAACTGTCTGGCCTGATGTCTGTTTTTTAAATAAAGTTTTATTGAAACCTGGCCACTTTGATTTAAGGCATTATCTTTGGCTGCCTTTATACTGTTGGTGGTAGAACTAAGTACTTACAAATCCTAATTAAGGGCTGGGAAGGTGGCTCAGTGGTAGAGTGCTTGCCTTGCATGCATGGGGCCCTGGGTTCAATTCCTCAGCACCACATAAAGAAGTGGTGCTATGGCTCAAGTGGTAGAGCACTAGCCTTGAGCTGAAGAGCTGAGCGACAGCACCCAGGCCCAGAGTTCAAGTCCTGTGATCAGAAAAAAAAAATCCTAATTAATTAAATGGGGCTCTTTATAGAAAGCTCTGCCTACTGTTATCCCTAACAATGTACCTAACTATAATTACTCCTATGTAAAGATCAGCTTCAAATGAGTGGAATTCAGACCTCCTCATAAAACCCTGAGATGGGAAAGAAAACTAATAATCCTGTATTCCCTACTAATTTTTAGGAGAAAGGGGACAATCTGTTTCCAGTCAGTTTGCAGTCTTTGTAGAGGATCAGCATGTATGACTCTAGACTCCTCCCAGCCTCCAGTTGTCAGGTGACATGTGTTCAGTAGACATAGCTAATTTGAATTTTCATAAAGCTTAACTGTCAGGCAAATTTGTTCCTTCTCTCCTTAACTTCACAGTTCCAACTGTTTTCAGTGAATACATTTCAAAATCAGATGGAAATCACTTTAGGAATATCTCCTGTTTTCCGTTTTTCTCATTACCTTTTCGTTTTCTGAATAGGTTATTGAGAGCTGGCAGTAGTTATGGTTGTCCTAAAATACTGATTTCCCCATAGGGACATAGGAAGAACAGTTTATGTCATATGTCAAATATTTAAGTTCCCCAGCATGGCAATTTTGTGAATATAAGGCAGCATTGTTATTTAAAAAAGCTATTGATAATTATTAAACTCCTTTCCTCAAAATGCTTTGAAAACTTAGCCCTTAGGGGAATGGGTATTTAGATAGGTATGGAGCCATATCAAAGAAGTGATATATTGATGATCAAGAGAGAAGAATCCTCCTCAGACTGGTCCTCCTGAACCCTGGTGCCAAAACAGCCTAGAGATAAAAGTTGAAATTGTCTATGGCAGGGAACTCTTTTGCTATAATGAGACTTGGGGGTACAGTTAAATTCTATAAGAGGTACAATTGCCTTTCTACATCCTGTGATTGAGGCAGCTTCTATTTGGAAAACATTAAAACCCAGGCTCTTTCTAGCCTGACATTGCTAACTGCTATCTGACAGCTTTGCCAATTCCAAGCTCATGGTCAGCAAAATGTACGAAGGACCTGACGTAAATGTTACCACCAATGATGACATCCTTGAAATGAAATGCTTCCAATTTCTAGGATGTCACCACTGGTGCCAATTTCCCAACTATCTTTATCTCTTTGTACCTAAAATAGTGAGGGTTCTGTGTGTTTAGGATGTTTTTGGATAGCACAGGATTAGACAGTATGGGAAGTTCTTGATTTATATAACCTTAGATGTAAGAGATTATAATCCCTTTAAGGTCAATAGAGGAGAGGTGAGTGCATCAGTGGGGTGTGGTGGTAAGGTAACATCACTCCCTCTGGTCCCAAATATAGATTGGTGGGAAACTTGAGGCAGGATTATAAAACTTCACAGTGATAGTTGGAGTGTTGCCAAAGTGACTATAGACGCTAAGAAAACACCTATTTGTATTCTCTGTTGAGATCAGAGCATACTGAATGGAATGATGGACCACAGGGTTATGCTATGATGGAATTATTAAAAAAATAGAGTGCCCATCTCTAGGTGTTTTTGAGTAGGTTTTTTGTTTTGTTTTGTTTTGTTTGTTTTTACTAGTAGTGGGGTTTGAACTCAGGGCCTGGGCAAATTTTTTTTTTTTTTTTTGCTCAAGGCTCAAACTCTGACTTGAGCTATAGCTCCACTTCTGGCTCGCTCTTCCCTCCCTCCCTCCCTCCCTCCCTTCCTTCCTTCCTCCCTCCCTTCCTTCCTTCCTCCCTTCCTTCCT